TTCTTCTTTCTTTCTTTCTTTCTTTCTTTCTTTCTTTTTTTCTTGCTTTCTTTATTTATTTTTTCTCTCTTTCTTCCTTTCTTCCTTCCTTTTGTTCTTTGTTTCTTTCTTTCTCTTTTTCCTTTCGTTCTTTTTTTTTTTTCTTTTTTTTCTTCTTTCTTTCTTTGTATTTTTTCTTACTTCCTTTTGTTTTGTTTTGTTATTTCTTACAAATGGGAGACAGAGAATCAGAGAGGGAGACAGAGAGAGAGAGAGATAGAGATAGATAGATAGATAGATAGATACATAGATAGATAGATAGATAGATTAAAAGATAGATAGATAGATAGATAGATAGAGAGAGAGAAAGAGAGAGAGAGAGAGAGAGAGAGAGAGAGAGAGAGAGAGAGAGAGAGAGAGAGAGAAAGAGAGAGAGTTTACTACAGCGGGCCACGAACGCATTGAACGAGGTACATAAGTGTGATTTTGGCCCGCAGATGTCAAGATTGGCCAAAACCGGACAGAAGAGAAAGTCAAGCGAAGAGTGTGATGCAACGACAGATCACTTTCTACTGGTCTGTCTATCTATTTGTCCATCTATCTTGTTTGTCTCTCTATCTGTCTCTCTATCTGTCTATCTATCTGGTCTGTGTATCTATCTATCTATCTATCTGTGTATCTATCTATCTATCTATCTATCTATCTATCTGTCTATCTATCTGTCTATCTATCTGTCNCTATCTATCTGTCTATCTATCTATCTGTCTATCTATCTGTCTATCTATCTGTCTATCTATCTATCTATCTGTCTATCTATCTGTCTATCTATCTGGTCTGTCTATCTATCTGGTCTGTCTATCTCTCTGTCTATCTATCTATCTATCTATCCGGTCTGTCTGTCTGTCTGTATGTATGTTTGTATGTGTGTCTGTCTATCTGTTTGTATGTGTTTCTATCGGTCTGGTTTGTCTGTCTATCTATCTGTCTGGTCTGTCTGTCTCCTAATCTGTGTGTCTATCTCGTAATATGTGTGTCTATCTCGTAATCTGTCTGTTTGTTTGTTTGTGTGTTTGTCTGTTTGTCTGTCTGTGTGTCTGCCTGTCCGGTATGTCTATCTATCTATCTGTCTGGTCTGTCTGTCTCTTAATCTGTCTGGTCTGTCTGTCTCCTAATCTGCCTGTGTATCTATCTGTCTGTCTATCTATCTAGTCTGTCTATCTATCTGTTCTGTCTATCTATCTGGTCTGTCTGTCTATCTGGTCTGTCTATCTATCTAGTCTATCCATCTATCTGTCTATCTATCTGGTCTATCTATCTACTCTGTCTATCTATCTGTCTATGTATCTGTCTATCTATCTGTCTATCTATCTATCTATCTATCTATCTATCTGTCTATCTATATGGTATGTCTATCTATCTTTCTATCTACCTGGTTTATCTATCTATCTGGTTTGTCTACCTATCTTGTTTGTCTATCCATCTGTCTATCTATCTGGTCTGTCTATCTAGTCTGTCTATATATTTGTCTATCTATCTGTCTATCTGTCTATCTATCTGTCTATCTATCTGTCTATCTATCTGTCTATCAATCAGTATATCTGTCTATCCATCTATCTATCTATTTGTGTATCTGGTCAGTCTATCTATCTGGTCTGTCTATCTGGTCTGTCTATCTATCTGGTCTGTCTATTTATCAGTCTATCTATCTGGTCTGTCTATCTATCTGGTCTGTCTATCTATCTAGTCTATCTATCTATCTATCTATCTATCTGGTTGTCTATCTATCTGTCTATCTGGTCTGTCTGCCTATCTATCTGTCTATCTATCTGTCTGTCCGGTCTGTCTGGTCCGTCTGTCTATCTGGTCTGTCTGGTATGTCTATCTGGTCTATCTGGTTTGTCTATCGATTTGTCTATCTCCTTATCTGTCTGTGTATCTGTTTGTCTCTCTATCTATCTCGTCTGTCTGTCTATCTGGTCTGTCTGTCTATCTGGTCTGTCTATCTATCTGGTCTGTCTATCTATCTGTCTATCTATCAAGTCTGTCTATCTGGTCTGTCTATCTATCTGTCTATCTATATGTCTTTCTATGTGTCTATCTATGTGTCTATCTATGTGTCTATCTATCTGGTCTATCTATCTAGCTGTCTATCTATTTGGTCTGTCTATCTATTTGGTCTGTCTATCTATCTGGTCTGTCTATCTGGTCTGTGTATCTGGTCTGTCTGTCTATCTGTCTATCTATCTGTCTATCTATCTGTCTATCTATCTGTCTATCTATCTTACGACATACATCTATCTGTCTGTCTATCTCTCTATTTATCTGTCTATCTATCTGTCTATCTATCTGTCTATCTATTTGTCTATCTATCTGGTCTATCTATCTGGTATGTCTGTGTATCTGGTCTGTCTGTCTATCTGGTCTGTCTGCATATCTTTCTATCTATCTGTCTATTTATCTTACAACATACATTTATCTGTCTATTTGTATATCTGTCTATCTATCTGTCTATCTGTATATCTGTCTATCTGTCTGTCTATCTATCTGTCTATCTATCTTACGACATACATCTATCTGTCTGTCTATATGTCTATCTATCTCTTTATCTATCTGTCTATCTATCTGTTTATCTATCTGTCTATCTATATGTCTATCTATCTGTCTATCTATCTAGTCTATCTATCTGGTCTGTCTATCTATTTGGTCTGTCTGTCTATCTGGTCTGTCTGTTTATCTGGTCTGTGTTTATCTATCTGGTCTTTCTATCTATCTGTCTGTGTGTCTATCTATCTGGTCTGCATTCTATATGTCTGTGTATCTATCTGTTTGGTCTGTCTGTCTCCTAATCTGTTTGTCTATCCGTCTGTCTGTCTGTCTGCCTGTGTGTCTGTCTGTCTGGTCTGTGAGTGGATGAACAAGAATCAAAGTCTGTAAGTTCAATGGCGTCTGTCTGTCTGTCAGTATGTCTGTCCATCTGTCTGTCTATCTGTTCGTCCGTCTGCTTGTCTGTCTATCAATGTGTCTCTCTGTCCGTCTGTCTGTTTGTCAGTTTGTCTATCTCTCGCCTTGTCTGGTCAGTCAGTCAGTCAGTCAGTCAGTCTGTTTGTCTGTCTGTCTGTCCGTCGGTTTCTCTGTCTGTTTGTTTGTCTGTCTGTCTGTCTGTCTGTGTGTCTGGCTGTTTGGCTGTCTATTGGTTGTTTGTCTGTCTGTTGGTTGTCTGTCTGTCTGTCTGTCCGTTTGTAAGGTTGGCTACTGCGTGCCATACACAGAGCACACAGGTCCGTTGTGACTTCAAATGGCACGCAGTAGCCAACCTGAAGCCGGACACGCTAACACATGCACAAGCAAACACGCATAACAAATACACACACACACAGGCATATACAGAAAGACACACACATACACACACACACACAGGTATATACAGAAAGACACACATACACACACACACACACACACACACACACATTTTGGCATGCACCCTTAAACTTGGCTACTGCGTGCCAGAAACTGACGAATGATGACCGTTGCGACTTTGAATGGCACGCAGTAGCTAACTTGGGAACAGACACGAAGACACACGCACAAACCATTCATACACACACATCCATAGACATATACACAAAGACACACAGACATCCACATAGGTTCATACATAGACGCCACACACACACACACACACACACACACACACACACACACACACATTCTGGCATGCACCCTTAAACTTGGCTACTGCATGCCAGAAACTGACGAATAATGACCGTTGCGACTTCGAATGGCACGCAGTAGCCAACTTGGGAACAGACACGAAGACACACGCACATACCATTCATGCACACACATCCATAGACATATACACAAAGACACATAGACATCCACATAGGTTCATACATAGACGCCACACACACACTCACACACACACACACACATGTCGAAGACGTCATTGTGCGTTTCGCTGGCAGAGAGAAGAGGACGAAAGACAAACCATACGCATCATGTCGATGTCAATAGCACAGGTGGAGGCTGCTCTTGCATAGGTAATGAAGTATGCAAAGGAGGGCGTCCACTACAATGGTGACAGCGAGTTGTCTTTGCTTCAGGACAAGGTGCCGAGGTACTTCATAGTCCCTGTGGATATGAGATCCACGATCATGGCAAACGATGAGGGTTGTGTCATAGCACGAACACTCTTGCAACGCTTCAGAGAGTCACCACATGTACGTGTGGACAGCGATGTGGAAGACAGTGCATACAGTCTAAAAGGAGTTGTCCAGTGGATGTGCAGCGAAAGGATGCGCGAAGAAGGAGACGTGGACATGACAATGCAGCAGAAAGGGGGGACATATAGACCTGCGGATTTCAAGAAGTTGCTGGCCACTGTGGCACGGAATGGGGGAATGTTGGTTGATGGGTCGAAGGACGAGTTGAAGAGTGGTGCTGCAGAAATCTTGGTGTTGTCCAGAATGAAGGACATTACGCAAACACCGCCAGAAGACTTTCAAGATGTTCCTGTCATTGTTGCAGATGGTGTGGAATATATTCTGCTGGATCAACGTATGGACTTCATGAAAAAGAGTGTCGACAACAGGAATGTCATCCATGAGGCGTTGCACGAAGTCACAGAGTTTGCACTGCAGGGTCAAGATCTGATAGAATTTGTGTCAGCAAGAACATAAGACAACATCATATCTAGCAGACCGTTGTGGGGGGAGTTATTATCAGCTGCTTTGGAGCGGCTCGGTCTTGCAAGTTGTGATGTTGAGAGACAAAGAGAAAGAGAAGAAGGATGGTAGGTGATGGCCAGGGAAACAAATTTAGCAATCATTTCAGACAACGGACAGACATTAGCAGCGCAAGAATTAATAACCAGTATGGCAGTCGATGTGTCTCCCATGCAGACAGCAACGAGAGAGGAACGAGTGTGTTCCGATATCTTTTATGATTTTACAATGGAGAAAGAACAGTGTGATCGTGGATTTGAAGAGGCCGATTTGCCAAGTTGTTGTGCAGAGTACACAGACAGTGCAGAAGAAGAAGATGAAGAAGAGGATGAGGGGGCATCATCTTCTGACATAGAAGTGAGCGGCAGCGATGTCAGCAGCGACGAGGAAAACGAGCAACATGATGTATACTATGATTTGAAGGGGGCGGGTGGACAAGTGACAAAAGGTTGGGCACATGCAATTCTGAGGTTGACACGTGCTTTTCCCGATCCGCACAAAGTGTTGCATGTTGTGATGAAGAAGGCAACACCAGATAGTGCACTACAGTATGCCGCAGTGACCAGCATAATGAAATCATGCAACAAGGGGAAAAAGTGGTCACGTGTTGGCAAGGGATGGTTTGTTCTGGTCAATAGAGAGGCAGTGCTAGCAACGTCACTGACATGGGGTGTCAACCTGAGTTGCCTCATACATGGCGCACTGGCGACAACTTGGGAAGAGACATTGCACCCCGATTTGTCAACAGGAGATGCAATAGTTAGGGTGTCAACCTGAGTTGCCTCAACAGGAGATGCAATAGCAACTCAGGGTGTCAACCTGAGTTGCCTCATACACGGCAGCGACCGGAGACACACCCACGTACCACGACAGAATGGCTGGACATCAGGGATGATGACATGCATGCATAGCATAGAGCAATAGAGTGGTAGTACAAACAACCAGTGCACATACATTTTGATACGCATGGGAAGCTCAACTTGTACATCCCTCAACCTGTACATTCCTCTATGTCTCCCTCAATTTCAACGACAGTCGGGTTCACTACTGCGTGCCATATCAGTGTCCACTAGTGCTGTTTGTTGTCGTTCTGACCCGCACTAATGAACCTCTCTCTCTCTCTCTCTCTCTCTCTCTCTCTCTCTCTCTCTCTCTCTCTCTCTCTCTCTCTCTCTCTCTCTCTCTCTCTCTCTTTCTCATATGTCGAGTTGTAGCTATATTAGAACTTGTACATCCATCTGCGGGTTCTGTGTCATGTTGCCTGTTTGCCTCTCCAAGAACATGCGGTTCACTACAGCTTGCAGTCACAGGATTGAACAATATTTCAATCATTTGATGATTGTTACGATGTATGTTATAATTTGTTGCCTTTTGGAGTATGTAAGACACATCAGACCCCCTGTGATGGCAAATGTGTGTATGTTGTGTTTTTTTTTTGCATTCTCTGTAATTTAAATTCAAATGTACTAGGTTGTGAAATGTTTCGGAAGTGGTTGCGGAGGTCAGCTGAGGTGCAGAGGTGCAATCATTTTCATGCGGACATGGAAAACACATACCACATTCACAGACGTCGTGGATGGATAGTTGCGAACTTGGGCAGCCGCACAAACGTGGTGATGAAGGTTATGTCATATATCGTGTACCATGCGTAAGTCGTTGCCTCTTCCTACACGACCATAGAACATGTCATGGCATATGAATTATCGTGTCGCACAGGTGACTACTAATCTTTGTCAATTGGGATCAGCAACACAGACCATTCGTACGAAAAATGGCAATCAGTACTCCCTCTCTATGTCTTTCTCACAGAGAAGAGGATGTGCGACACTTACACAATATAACAAAATATACTTTGCAACTTATAATGCAAATGACCTGAACCAATGTACAAAATGTTAATCAAAACACTGTCTGCACTGCTCTATTTATTTTTGGAATGCACTGCATGCACAGAAAATGGACAGCGGTCTACGGGTGTGCGACTATGGCAGGCCTTTCATGTCATTACGAACTTTGAACTCACATCGTGCGAGGGCATGCCCGACCGTGGTGGACAAAAGAACACATGGGCAGAAGATGGGTGTGGTCGATGACGCCGGACCATCAAGTATAGGTGCAGTGAATCTCGTGAGCGATGAGAGCGAGGACGTCGGGGCCCCCGAGAATGTAGACTGGGAGGGCAGGACATTCGAAGAGCAGCAAGCGCAGCTTGTTGAGTCTTTTGACAGCTCTCGCAAGCTGGCGGCACTAATTTTCTCCGCCAGGGGCGACGTCGGTATGTCGCAGAGCGACATAGATGCTCTCTTGTCACTTCTCACAGACCCGAGATTCAGCACGAGAGACATCGCGTATCGTAATAGTCGAGAGTGTTTGACATGGGCAGAGAGTCTAGCAGAGGCTACTGGATGGAAACAGTTGGATCTACGTTGTGACGATTGGCAACGGTGTCAACCGGTAGAACGGGTCTGCCGGCACGCCGATCGAACCCTATACCTCGCGCCGTGTCTGTCACTCACGGGAGGGTCGATCGGAGATCTTGTAACCCGCAAGAAATCAACCTCGTCAGTATCAACGAAATACGCTAGCACCGCAATATAAGGCAGAAAACTGCTGACGACGAAACAATTCGTAGAAATGATCGAAATGAAAGTTTTGATTCAGTTCAAAATAGTATTATAGTTCGCACTGCGACCAGGCCCTGGGGCTCGCCCATAGCACGAGTCTGTAAAATCCGTCTGAGTCCCAACGGAACCCGGCCCCCGTCATGAAACAGGCTTGATACAGCAGTTAGGCTCGACACTTGTCGGAGAGGCGATGTCTTGGTTCACGAGGGTGCGCGACTAGGACCCGTCCTGGGTCTAGATCTGGTCTGATCTGGTCTGGTCCGGTCGGTTTGATCTTGTCTGATCTGGTCCGTCCGGGTGTGATACAGCCTGGCCGGGTCTGATCTGGTATGTTGTAGTCTGGTCAAGTCTGTGTCTGTTCTGGGTCCGATCTGCGTTGGCCGGTCTAGTCCGGCCTGACCTGTTATGGCCTGCCAACCCGGTCTGATCCGGTCTGATGCAATCTGCTCTCGTGTGGTATGTTCCCGCTCAGTTCAATCTGAACCAGTCTGATGTAGTCTAGTCTGGTTCTGGTGTGATCCTGTCTAGTCTGGCCTGCCCTTCCGTCCAGTCTGTCCCGGGTCTGGTCTGATCTGGTTCGGTCTGAACTGAAGCGGTCTCGCCTGCTCTGGTCATGTATGCTCTAGTCTGGTCTTTGTCTGATTTGGTCTGGCCCGGCCTGATCTGGCTGGTCTGGTCTGTGTTCTGAGCCCGGTTTGGTCTGAAATGCTCTGGTCTAATCGGGTCAGGCCCGGGTCTGATCTAGACCGGTCTGGTCTGTCCTGAGCCCGGTCTGATCTAAACTGGTCCGGATCTGGTCTGATCCCGTCCAATCCGGTCAGGGTGAGCTTTTAAGTCGGAGTGTGACTCGGCGCTCCTGCGCCCGTCCGCTGGCGCGCGCCTGTCCTTCGTTCATCCGCCCTTAATTGAATCTCCTCACTTTGGCGTCCCGAGCATGGAGCGGAAATCACATTCTGCCTCGATGTTTAGAGTCTGACACGTGCAATCAAGCTCAACAGGGTCTCCTTTTCCCGCCACTTCTTCCAACCGTTCCCTTGGCTGTGGTTTCGTGGCATGGTACAAAGGGACAGTGGGAACCTCATTAATCCATTCATGCGCGTCACTAATTAGATGACGAGGCATTGGGTACCCCAAACGAGTCATAGTTACTTCCGCCGAGTACCCGCACTTAGTTGAATCTCTTCTCTTTCACATCCAAAGCGCTGGGCAGATACCACACTGCGCCATCACCTGTTGAGGCCATCGCGCTGCCTTGTACGATCGGCCTATCCCCTCGGTTCCGAGCCTCTCTCTCTCTCTCTCTCTCTCTCTCTCTCTCTCTCTCTCTCTCTCTCTCTCTCTCTCTCTCTTGCGTGCACGCACGGGCGCGCAGATCTCCGTTTCCCCTGTGTTGATCTCAGCTTCCGAGCGCTGCTTGTCCCGCCCGCGTGCTCGTCTCCCTCGCGGAGGAAATAAACCTGGTGTGCGATCCCGACCAGGTGCGTCTGCGGACTGCGTTCCCTTCTCTTCCACGCAGCTCCGCTCACTTGCATCCGCGCGCAGCAGCTTCCGACCTCGCACGCAGATCTAACCTCCCACGCAGCTCGCTCTCATCGGTGCGCGGCCAAGATCAGCTCGTCCTGCCGTTCTCGCCCGTGCGCAGCTTCGTATCCGCGCGCAACAGCTATCCCGCGTGCAGCAGATCTCCCCTGCACGGATCTTCCCGCGCGGCTCGTGTCCCAGGCGCAGCAGCTCTCCACGCGCCTTGTACGAGCTTTCTTCTTCTACGCAACGGCTTCCCCCCCCATACGACTCTCCTCACACCGCGCAGCTTCCCGCGCAGCTGCTCCCTCTGCTCGGTTTACTTACCTCGCGCAACTTCGTTACCCCGCGCAGCTGTTCGCGCGGCCTCCGTCCCCGCTTGCGCGTTCC